TACCAGATCTGCCCCACAAGAAAAGGCTAAGATACTGAGTCAGAATGAAAATAATCTCACAGGGGCTGGATCTGTATAAAGGAGTGAAGAGCACTGGAAGTGAAGGGTACAAAAGATATTAAAATTCTCTCAAAGAAATGTACTGTTTATAACAAAATTTTAAAATGTTTAGAATGTAATTTGAGGAAATTTGATAGACTCTTGCCCTTTTTAGTATCATCTTTTATTTTCTTGAGGTTGGTCACATAAATCCAGTTGCATTTCTCTGTCAGATTTGATGCTTATGCATATTTACTCTTTGAATATTATATATACCATATAATTTGTGTGTGTGTGACTGTGTGTTTGTGTGTTTGATGTACATGCTACATGCATGCAGGAGTGTCCAAAGAGGCCCAGAGATGGTGTTGAATTCCCTTAGAACTGGAATTTCGGGCAGTTGTGAGCCTTTTGCTGGGAATGGAACCCAGGTCCTCTGGGTTCCAAGTGCTCTTAAACCATTGTGCCATTTCTCTAACCTTCTATACATTTAAAAACATTTACTCCTAGACTCCATAGCTTTCTTTCATGTTGTTTTTCAAGTGTGTTTATGTGGTATTGAAAAATTAAGTAGCTGGTTTGTAGTGAGTACAAAATTGAAGTTCATGAGTATGAAGAATACATCTGTTGAGGAAAATCTTACTTTGCAGGAGTTGCAGATGTATTAAAGTGTTTAGATTTATTGCCATAAAACCACAGTTTTGGTGGTGATGCTGAAAGCGGCATTTTGTCTTTGACTAACAGGATTCCAAAATGGTATGTCTGTTACAGTTGACTGAAGGCCAAGTGATTCTTAGGCATGACCACATCCTGAGATGTGCAGCTTCAAGCTGTGTAGTACAGGGAAGATTTTCTTACTACCCCTAGGATTTTGCGTAGGTCTTGCTTATGTGGACTTTTCTGTTAGGATGGCTGTTGGGAGTTTTATGTTCTGTTTGGTGCAAGGCAGTTTTGGGGTCAGGAAAGCTCAGTGCTGTGAACCAAGACAGGGCTCTCTCCAGCTCCTCCTGTTGTCTATTGCTTGCTGTAGCCTTCCTAGTTTACAGGATGGAATGGGAGGGGCAAGGGCTTTGGCTTAGCATGACTTAAACTTGGGTGGGCTGGTGATTCTGCCAGGTCAGGACAGGGGCCCTGGTGTTGGCCTGGCCAGGATGGGTGACCAGCTTTTCTTCACTGTTTCAGGAGCCAGGTTCCAGATGATCAGGCTTCTGGAGGCCTGGGGGTGGGGGAGTGAGGGTGAGGGGTGGATTCTGCTCAGGAGACTCCAACACTATGGCCACGAATGGGAGGTAGACTTCCTGAAAAAGAAGCTGGCCGACTAGCAGCCAGGGTCAGCCTAGGGGAGACCTGAGATGGGGTACAGTGTCCCCAGGGTACTGGCCACTTCCTCAGCGTCACTGATAACAGTTGTGGGTAGCCATGAGCGAGTCACTGGAAATGATGGCTGACATGCTTAAGGGCCGGCGTGCTGTGGAGACCTTGGCAATGACTCCTCCTGGTGGGCTTTGGCATGGTCACAGTCATGTGTGGCAACACCTGGAGCACTAGGCTGTGGAGCCTGTTTGCAGGGATAAGCCAGGGGGGGACCGCTACTGGAGGGTGTGCGCCATGTACACATGCATACTTACTGGCTTTCCTGCATGGGCCTGTGATGGACATTTCATACCACTACCAAGCCAGCAATTGTACTATAAGAAATAAGTTAAAAAAAAACTGTCTTTGTGATGTAGGAGAAGAGTGTTCAGTAAGTCATTCAAAAGCACATCCTCCAAATCATGATATAATTTCCTACAAGGGGCTTTATCCCCTTCATGGAACAGTGTCTTGGGGGTTAGTATAGATCACCATTAAAGAACATTACATTTACTATATGTATGCATGCACGTATGTGCAGCAGGACTCGAGGACAGTTTGTGGGAGTTTTCTGTCCTACCATGTGAGTCCCAGGGATTGGATTTAGAACTTTAGGCTTAGAGGGGCAAGCCCCTTTGCCTGCAGAACCATCTTGCTGGCTCTAGATCACTGGTTCTGCCACGGGCCATGTGAGTAGGTAAAAGAGAGAGTGTGTGTGCACATGTTTTTAAATATCTGTTGTCTTATCTCTGTTTCAGCTTGACATGTTTGCTTTCAGAGCATATCCCCCTGAATTGTGAGAATATCTTGCAAGGAGTTGGAGCAGCATCTCCACAGCCCTGTCTTTACGCATTGACTGCTTTAAATTGGCAGAGAACATCGTTTTTCAGTGTGTCGTTATTGCTTAGAGCAGTGGCAATCGGAATAATTTTAAAGTGAAAATTTTGTGACTTGCCAGTGAGTTAAAATAATTCCAATGTCTGAAAATAAGGAAGTCTGACACAAAAGAGGGTGTGCCCATGTGATTGTCCAGGTGTATATTAACCTCAGTCACCTCCATATTCCCCAGAGTGCAGCTGGTACTCAGCCAGGTCTGAGGGTGTGACTGATGTGGAACACCCAGGAAGAGAAGCAACTAGAGGTGGGGGTGGGGTTTGATTCAGAGTGAGATCTTAGTGTTTTCCTAGAACAAACCTGTCTTGCCCTTGTGCTCCTTGACTGTGGAACTCTTGGGAAACTTTCCTGACTAGAAAATAAAAGATCAATCATTGTTGATATGTCCATTCTAATTAAAGGCCTAATCAGTGTGTCTGCTGGTTTGCTGTGGGCTGTTTCTAGGAGGTATTTGGATTTGGAGAATTGAAAGGCTCTCCTTTATATACCCTGGTTTTTGTTTTATTTTCCCTTCTTAGTCTCTTTTAGAGTTATTTGCAAATCTGAATAAACGTGATAGGCTCCAAGTGTCCTTGAAGCTTCTCTGATGTAGTGAAATAAAATACCTGCTTCTTTGTATTCACACATGTGTGTGAAGGTGTGGGTGTGTTTGAATCAGATCCTTTGTTGGAGAAATGGGGCTTTGGGATTCCATTGCAGCGTACTATTTTAGTCCATTTTAATTTTTCTTAGAATCTTATCTGCTCCCTACTGTCTCCTCTATGAAAGAGAATATGTCCCATACAGGAAGTCTTGAACGGGACTCACTTGGTAGCTGATATTGGATGTCAGCTTGACATACTTGGGGAGAGGGAACTAAAAATTGAGGACTTGCCTCTATCAGGTTGGTCTGGAGCATGTCTGTGGCCAACATTCTTTTGGCTGCTGATGGACAGAGGGTTCTGCCCACTGTGGGCAGTACTATGTCTGGTGGTCCTAGGCTATATGAGAAAGCACGCTGAATACAGCAGCCAGAGAGCAAGCCAGTAAGCAGCACTCATCCATAGCCTCTACTTCAGCTCCTTCCTCTGTGTGTCTGCCTTGAGTTCCTGCCTTTTCAGTGAGGGCTGTGACCTGTGAGCTGAAGTAAACTCCCCCCAAGTTACTTTTGGTCCTGGTGTTTATCACCAAAAAAAAAAAAAAAAAAAAGCAGAGTAGGACATCAGGCATTCTTCTTTCTTGGCACAAATGAGCGTGTGCATAACAGGATAGCAATAGTGGCAATTTCTGTGTGTTATGAACAGTCCCTGGCTCCTTACTTGCTGTGGGATGATTGGTACTGATGAACAACACAGACCCCTTTCTGTGGGGACCTTGGGAAGGATGGGTTTTGTCTAGGCACTGGCTCTAATAGCTGTACCATTGCATTTCATCCTCGCCCAGCTACCATAAAATTGAATGATGCAGTAGTCATTTTACAAAACATTCTGGTATGCTGGAAGAGGAAATAAATGAGAACATGCTATCTTATTAGAAAATAACATCTCTGCCCAACTGTGTTTACTGGGTGGGTTCAACACTCTCTGAGAACACTTGAAGTCTGTTTTAAGTGGTGTTGGCGCTTTTTGCTCCATGTTTGACGAGCATTAGGCATCTGTCAACCCTGGGGGTCTTTTGTTGCCGTTCCTTTAAACTTTCAAGTCTCATTATTTATTGTGTGTGTTGCCATGGAGTGTGTGCATGTAAAGGCCAGAGGACAGCTTTTCTGGGAGTTGTTCTCTCCTTCTGCCATGGTCCTAGGGATCAAGCTCAGGTCGGCAGGCTTGCATCATCAGGTGGCGAGCACCGTTACCCGTGGGCCACATTGCTGGCCTGGCGACTGTTTGTTAATTTTTAATAATATAACATCTCTCGGGCTTCTCCCCCTCCAGTCCTCAGTGGCTAGCCTTCCAAATACGTCATTTCTCATTTGGGTCCCACTGCAGGACATCTGTCTCTTATTTCTTTCTGGTGTATTAAGCATCTGACATTGGTTGATATTTCTATAGTTCCATCAAGCATCGTGTAAAATCAGAGTAGAGCTTTTGTATTGTGTTGATAGGACTTGCCTGAACGCAGTGGTGCTGTGTTCACTTCCATCTTCAGAATTCCTGAAGCCTCTCCCTGAGGCTCCCAAGGTGCTGTTCTCTGCCTCTCTCCACAAATCACAGATGTTGCGGTCCTCAGCTTCACCTCACCACAGTCTTGTAGTGTGTTCCTATCAGAACAATCACTTTTACCTCTCACTTTTAGTAAATAGGCATTGGATGAGTGTGGAGAGAAAACCAGCAGTTAATCCCAGTAAGACTTAAGAGATGCTGAATGTTTCTTTTCTTTCTTGACCCATAATATTATCTTCTTAGTGTACTAGTGACTAGCCACCCAGAAAAATCCTCTATCCATCTCCTTAAATATACACTAAATTATAAAGAAATAGATAATAAAAAAGAGGCTAAAACAGTCTTTTTTTTGTGTGTTTTAAGAAAAAAAATTGTTCTTCACTTGATATTAAAATACATATGGGGAACAATTAGGGTTGTTTTATTATCATAATTCCACAATGCCTGTGACTATATGTTCCTTTAGTTATATTAGTGCCCCCATAACTATTGCTTCCTGATTATCTAGTTTATAGCCGAGGGGGAAAGATTATTTTAAGGACTAACGTGTGACATGTTTGCTTGTGTTTGTTTTAGGAAAACCTCAGAGCACTGGGAGTTCGGAACGGATTCAGCTCTCAGGAATGTACAATGTCCGAAAAGGCAAAATGCAGTTGCCAGTGAATCGGTGGACAAGACGCCAGGTTATCCTGTGTGGGACGTGCTTGATAGTATCATCTGTGAAAGACAGCTTGAGTGGGAAGATGCATGTTCTACCACTAATTGGTGGGAAAGTAAGTGTGAAGCAAGAATGCTGAAGAGTACTCTAGCATTAGTAAGGACCTTCCAGCCGTCTGTGTAACATGAGGGAGATGGATTTGACTTGTCTGAAGCCTCACTTTCTGATGTGCTCCACTGGCGGGCATTGTTTACTGGATCTGTAAAAATAGCAGTGCCGTTGGATCACAAGAGAAAGTGGATCAGCAGAATGTCATTGTTCTGTTTTAGAGTATAGATGATGAATTCGTTATAATTAGGCATCCTTTGTTCTGCTGAGCATGTACTCATAGTACAGGATACCATGCCCAAGTCTGAGTGTAGGAATGCACAAGTGTGACTAGATTTCCGTTACCTTCTGCTTGTTTGTGTGTAATGACTTAGCGGGATTGGCATCTTTAGTTTATTACTATGGCTAGCTATACATTTGAACTGGAAGTGCTACTTATACACTTGACAGATATTTCCAACATTATTGGTGGCTTTTCTTTGGGCATTTTGACTAGTTTATGCCCATTGCTAATATAATAGAACCATTTTTTTGTGGACATATTAAATTCTCTGCTGGTTTATTTATAAGTATTAAATTCTCTGTTGAATTAGGTGGCATCACTATAATCACATGTCAATATTTGCTGGCTTTCACATGATGTAATTTATTAAAGAGGAAAGATTTAGATAAGAAATGGGTTTGCTGGAATTGGGGACATATGAAACAAGCATCCCCCCCCCCTTCTTATATGAAAAAGGAGGTAGGAGGTGGAGAATGCAATTAGAGAAAAAAATAATTAAAAATAAGTATTTTTAATTAGGCTAAAAATATAAACTTAAGTTGACAAATGTCTGTTCTATTCTAAGAGTCAGAATTGAAGGTAAGGCTGGATCTGCATAGTGATAAGAGGCTTTGATGCTCAGCAGCTTTGTAGTATGGTTTGTCCTTGTGAGTGCCCTGTGCTAGTTGCTCTCTGCTCTACTGGTGTACCCTAGTCCTAGGACGGCTATGAAGCCTTTCACAATGGGTTTTCAGCCAGACTGGAGGTAGATTTAGATCTATTCACTCTTCCATTTTGAAACCATTGCTTATTAGCCTTTGTCTGAGCATTAAGGATTGGTGAGTGCAGTCAAGGATGACCTTGAACTCCTGACACTCCTGCCTGGGTTCACAGGTGTGGGGTTACAAGTGTGTGCCATCACACCCAGTTTCAGTTTCATGTGGTATGGAGATTGAACCCAGGCTTGGCATATGCTGGGCAAGCATTCTACCAAGTGAGCACATCCACAGCCTATCGAGTGCAGCTTATTATTTAACATTTTGACTTCATGGATTACTGAAAGTTTTGTTGTTCATGTTGCCGTCATGGATGATTATTTTAAAATACAAACATTATTAATGTTTGCTGCTGTTAGACCTAAAGTCTGTCTCTTTATGATGCTGGGTATTTGCACGTGTAAATATATGTGGCATTATTAAATGTCTTTTGTGGGGGAAGACACTGTGTTTGATATTAGGAAATGGGAGTCACCAACTTTGAACAGCTTCTGATGCCATATCAGGAGATGCAGGCTGGATACATCATCATCTGCATTAAAGCGGTAAGAGAGCTAGAGAGCAAGAGCACGGTGTGAGGTTAGTAAAAGGGCAGCATTCTCTAGGGAAGAGAGAATTTTGTAATGAAAGATGTAACAGTAATAGAACTTGAAGGATGAAAAATCTTTTGACATATACAGTGGGAGCAAGATTATTATTCTCAGAGAGGAGAAAAAGCATGTGGAATGTTCAGGTAAGGTCAGAAAAATCCAGCTATAATTAGCATTGCCATTCAGAGACTCATCCTGTTTCCCAGGCCTGTTATTGGATGGGCTTCTACTATTGAGTGAATTGAAAGTTAATAGCTTCCGCTTTTTACAAGTAGATCTTGTCAAACCTGCTTTGCACTGTTTTAAAATAATGGAGCTTGTTGAAAAACTGAGTCTTTAAAACCTGTTGACCCAGTTAGGAGACAATAATTCACTTTTTGTAATTTGAGCTTTCCTTCATGTGTGTTTATTTCTTTTTGTCATTCTGTTCCAGTTGGTAAAGGGAAAACAGATTGAATGCATGAGCCTTCCCCCACTTTTCTTTTTAGTTTATATGTGGAAGAGCTAGACATGAAGTATGGGATGGGTTGGTCATAGTCCTATGGCAATTGCTGTGGTGTCAGTTTTCCACATCAGCAAAACATGATTAGTTTACAATTTTCAAATAACAAGTGGCTTCATTGTTAAAGAAAGTTTACCAGTAAGTTGTCTCCATGGGGAGAGAACTTGCCAATCCTGATGACCTGCATTAGATCCCTGGAACCCACATGGTAGAAAGACAGAACTGACTCTTGCAAGTTGTCCTCTGACCTTCATATGAACCTTGGCCCTTGTACACACAGACACACAAATATAAGTGTAATTTTATAAAAAGTTAAAGCAATCTTTCTTTTCTTTTTTTATTCAGATTATATCTTGGTCATAGCCCCTACCTTTCCTCCCAGTCCCACCCTCCCTCCTGCATCCCCCATCTTCTGTTCCTTCAAATAGGGGAGTCCCCTACCTAGACACCCCAGCTCATCTATTCACTTGAGGACTGAGTTTGTCTTCCTCTCTGTGGCCTGCTAGGGAAGTCCCATCAGGGAGAAGTGATCAAAAAGCAGGCAATGTAGTCCATGTCAGAGCTATCCCCCACTCCCCTAACTGGTGGGCCCCCACGAAGCCTAAGGTGCCACTGGCCACTTAGAAGTAGAGAGAGGATCTAGCTCCACACCATGCACTGTCCTTAGTGGTGCTTCAGACTCCATTGGGCCCTGCTTGGTTGGCTCTGATAGTCTTCTTGTGGAGCTTTTGTCACTTCTTTTTCCATTTATCCTTCCCCCTTCTTTTCCAGTAGATTCCCTATGCTTTGCCCAGTGCTTGGCTGTGGGTCTCAGCATCTGTTTCGAACTATTGCTTGGTGGAGCCTCTAAGAGGACAACTCTGGTAGGCTTCTGTCTGCAATCATATCAGGGTCTCATTAATTAAATCACTCTTAAAATGTTGAAAAATACTTTTCAGATACATTTTTATTCATTATGTAGTCATGCTAAATTTGCTGTTTAGAGTTAAACAGATTTTTGCCAGAAGAAAACAGGAAACAACCTTGGAACCTGCCACAGAGGGCCTCTGAAAGCCTCTGCAATATAGACTGTCAAAGCAGATGCTGAGCCTGATGGCCAACTGATGGGCAGAGTGAATGGAATTTTATGTAAGAAGTGGGAAATAGTAAGAGCTGGAGGGGACGGGAACTCCACAAGCAGAGCAACAGAACAAGATAATTTGAACACAGGGAACTTCCCAGAGACTCATACTCCAACCAAGGACTATTCGTGGAGATAACCTAGAACCTCTGCACAGATGTAGCCCATGGCAGTTCAGTGTCCAAGTGGGTTACATAGTAATGGGAAGAGGGACTGCCTCTGACATAATCTGATTGGCCTGCTCGTTGATCACTTCCCCCTGAGGGGGGAGCAGCCTTACCAGGCCACAGTAGAGGACAATGCAGCCACTCCTGATGAGACCTGATAGACTAAGATCAGAAGGAAGGAGAGGAGAACCTCCCCTATCAGTGGACTTGGGGAGTGGCATGCATGCAGAAAGGGGAGGGAGGGTGGGATCGGGAGGGGAGGAGGGAGGGGCTTATGGGGGGATACAAAATGAATAAAGTGTAATTAATAAAAAATTAAAAAAAAAACAAAAAACCACACATACAATTCTAAAAAAAAACAAACCAGATTTTTAGAAAATATATTTAAGTAAGGCTTTAATACGTATTTAAATAAAAATGAATAATAAATGAAATAAATGTCTACCTTTTATTTTGGACAATACAGAGAATTATCGATGGCCATACCTTCAGGTTTAAATGAGTGAGTTTATTGGGTATATAGCAAATGAAAATAAAAGAATAAGTACCAGGTTCATAGGCAGATGATAGACAGAAGCAGATAGCAAACATCACTTAGCACAATGCCCAGTAAATACTGGAACAGCCTGATTAGGAGGATGATGGACATTCTTTTGAGGTAAAGATTTTTCATTGTATATATTTCATGTTTCCGTAGTTTTCATTTCTGAATGTTCTAATCTGTAAATATTTCACAGTTACCATAATTTTAAAAGTAATTTTTTTACTGATGAACATTTGGGTTGCTTCCAGATTTTTGTTGTTACCATAGTATTGTTGACATAATCTTAGAGTGATATGCCTCCTGGTGAATATTTTTTTTAAGGCAGAAATTATTGTTTACAAGAGAACTTCTGAGCTCAGGGACATTTGGCCTTATGTGGAGATGATTTTGACATTGATAACAGAGAACAGGCAACTTGCCCTTGAGCCTGTACTGACATTGGGCTTGTCTTACTTCCTGCAGTTCTTTGTTGCGAAGTCCATCGGGCTCTAGGGGTGTACCTTGCTTTCTTTTTAGTACCCATTATTCACTTCCTTGGTTAAGCCTTCTCTAACACATTTTTTTTTTTTTTTTTAAATTCCAACCTGCTTCACAAACTGGCTACTCTTAAATTCTTTCAGCATCAAAACTGTGAATCTCACTTTGGTTTGAGTCGAGGTCCTGGAAAATCTAGGAGAACTTTTCAGACTGAGGAAGGTGCAGACAATGGGAGTTGGGCCTGTTGCCTCTGGCCCCTGGGACACTGACAGGACAATGGGTCAACAATTGACAGTATTTCCTGTGGCAAAGGGACAGGAACATAGACTTCACAGAGGGAGCACAGGGCACCCAGAAATTAAACAACAAAGATCTAGCTTTGAAGTTATCCTATGGTAACACAACTAACTACTAGATTTTGATGGCTTCCAGTCATGACTTCTTGCTCATATCACAAGACGACTATGAATTGCTGGGGTTTGGAGTTGATTTCTCTTTCTGTACATTTCTGTAGGGACCCTGCCTGATATTCTGTTCGTCTATTGTTTAATATTTGTGACCTGTGGCAGAGGAAAAAGTAATGGTCCTGTCATTTCCTGGTTCCTGTCCATTTGAACACTCGTTTTCATTTGTGTGTCCGTGTGAGTGCATGTGCATGTGTGAGTGCAGTGAGAAGAGGACACTAGGTGTCCTTTCAGTCACTCTCTGCCTGCTCCTCTGAGGCAAGGTCTCTCCCTGAATCTCAGGCTCAACTCTTGGGCAAGCCAAGAAGCTCTAGCCCTCTTCCTGTTCCCACCCACATTGGAGCTGTGGCTCTAGGTATTTGTAATGAATGACTGGTGGCTTGTTAAGTAATGTCTTTACAGCCTTGCTCTTGTATACTTAGATCTGAAATAGGAACACATGCCACTCCTTTGTCAGATGCTTGTAGCCAGAATTACTTATACTGACTTAACTGGGAAATGCTTAGAAGTAGGTGAAGGGTTGATGAATACCCATGTCCTTGGTGCAGAGGATACTCTTGGCATTAAAAGTGCTAGCAAGGGTTTCCAGAGTAAAATCTCATACGATGGGTTAGACAGATCCTGAGCAGTGAAGAACTCAATCCAAATTCCTGCAGTGATCTGAAAATACACCTTCTGGAGTGTATGCACCCGGGAGCAGTTACTAGCTCCAGGATGTGAGCATATTCACATCACAAGATGATACCTAATTTGTTTGCCAGAGTGTAAATTTACACCCACTCTTGTTTATGTGTCTGATTATCTTTTTATATTTTACCATAACTTATTAATTATAGTGTTATTCACATGTGGGCACACATGGGTGCTATAGTTTATGTATGGAGGTTAGAGGAAAACTTGGGAGAATTGCTTTTCTTTTTCTATGATGTAGGATCTGGAGATCAAAATAGGTTGTTGAGCTGGGTAGCAAGTGCCTTTATCCATTGAGCCACCACATCCTTCTTTTACATTTCATATGTAATTTCTTTTTAATTAAGTGTTTGTGTGTATGTAGGGAGCATATACACATGAGTACAGGTGCCTGTGGATGCTGGAAGAGGAAGTCAGATCCCTGAGAGCTGGAGTTACAGGCTGTTGCTGTAAGCTGCCTGTTGTGGGTGCCGGGAACGGAACTCAGGTCTTTGGAAGGAGCACAGTGTCAGCTCACCACTGAGCCATCATTTTGGCTCCAGTTTCTATTTTATTTCTGTCATTTAGCATAGAGTTCATTCAGTTTTTGGTTTTGAATTTTTTTGCTGATAAGTTCTATGCTACGCAAATTAATTTCTACTTTCTTTTCTAAATATTAAAATATATTAACCTTCCCTGTGTTTTCTTGATTTCATCCCACAGATTTTGTCATGTATTTGTTGAGTTCTAGCTTCTTAGGTTATATATATATATATATATATATATATATATATATATATATATATATAGGCTCTGAAATGATTAGGAGTACATAGTTGAAAAGTGTGTCATGTATGGGACTGGGTTTGTAGGTGTACTAGAACACTTGCCCACACACAGACTCTGGAAGTCCTCAGCTCTTAAAACGGATGCTTTAGAAGTGTGCTATTCATCTTCTAAACATACATAGATTTTAAACTAAGTTTCACTAATGAATTCTGAGATGATTATATTTTGAACAGTGTTCATATCATAATTTAAAAATCCTTTTGTACATTCTTTGTGACTTGGCTTATAGTCAGGTAATTTTTCTCAAGAAAATGATAGGAGTTTGTGTAACATGTTTTATTTAATTTTTTCTCTTTGTGAAGAATATACTGTGAATGTAAGTTTTCTATTTTCACTATAAGAGGAAGAAGCCCAAAGCCCTGTTGTTAAGATATTTACATAAAGAATAAGAAAGGAAGAGTTTTTACCAGTTTTCAACAGGAAGAAGGAAATTTCACTTGGGTGGTGAACTCTAATGAAGATAAAAAAAATCCCCTTTTCTTGATTTCCTTGTAACTAAGATTGGCTGTAAATAGTAAGGGGAGCATGAGTGGGGAGAGATAGAGGCAAATCTGATTAAGAAGCCACATCTGCACTGCACTCTGGTTTACCTGTTTTCTCTGCATCTTTTCATAGGTGGAAGAAGTGAAAAAGCACCAGCACTGTTTAGCATTCAGCTCTTCGGGGCCCCAAAGCCAGACTTACTACATCTGCTTTGATACTTTCACGGAATACTTAAGGTGGCTGCGGCAAGTCTCCAAGGTAAGTAGAACTTGCTTGTGTCTCACTTAGTTCCAAAACACAGTTTTCTACACTTTGTTTTTCTCTTTCATATATGCCAATGACTAGCAACTTTTAGTGTTAAAAAAGCTAAATATGGGTCTCGCCATCAATTTTTCTTTATCACTGGCTTTGTCTACTACCCCCCAAACATAGCATTTTTTAAAAAATTAAGGTTTTTTTTTTTGTTGTTTCTTTCCTTCCCTCCTCTTTTTTTTTTTTTTTGAGAATTTTATCTGAGTATTTTAAGTCATTTCCAACTCCATTTTCAAGCTCATGACTTCTTTCGTTATTATTGGTATAGTGTTGTGTGTGTGTGTGTGTGTGTGTGTGTGTGTGTGTGTGTGTGTGTGTAATACAACTACCAAGTTCATTTAGTGTTGCTGACCACCTGACCACCTGGGAATGGATAACTATCAGGAAGTATTCTTGAAGAAAAGGGATTCTCCCTTTTGTACCAGCCATTGATTGCCTGTAGCTCTTCATCCGGGGTAGAACCTGTGACTGGCCTGTCAAGGTAGCCACAGTGGTCCAGTAGTTGCATTCATTTCTTGGTCTAGTTAGTAGCTGTCTTGGACATCAAGTCCACTCATTGGAAAGGAATTCATACCTGCCACTGTAAATCTAGAGCTAGCCAGCTACCTGTGGCTGGAGAGGTCATGGATTCTAGAGAAAACATACTACAGTCACTTTCCTAAAGCAACACAATTTATACCTGTATTGTAAGTACTTACTCTTCTACCCACAGGTAAGTGTACCTCTCAACCTCATCAAACAAACTGCTTTTTGTAGTAGACGGACGTTGTTACAGAGATCTAAAACTGGTCACAATGCAAAGAAGAAGCGACCGGGGTGCATCGACAGTGCAAACACCTAAAGCTCAGAGAAAGTTGTTGAAGTGGGGGCAGGGTGATCGTAAGAGCCAGAGGACCAGGGCCCTTTTGTCAGATGGTGTCTTCTACACATGATACGGAAATGGCACCAATAAAGTCTTAAAAATATGGTCGCTCAAATAAGTCCCACATGATGAAAATGAGCCTTCACAAATTGTGTACAGGGGTAGAGAGATGGCTCAGTGGTTAAGAGTAGTTGCTGATCTTTAGAGGACCTGAGTTCAATTCTCATCCCTGACATGGCAGCTATCAGTCACCTGTGACGCCAGTTCAGGAGATCTGCCACACTCTTCTGGCCTCTGACAGCATTGCATAGACATGCATGTACATAAAACACCTATACCCATTTAAAAACAATAATAAGTAAACATTTTTATGTGTGAGATTTTAGCAAACCAAAAATTCAGTGATTAGAGTGGAATGGCTATCTTAATGTTACAGACAAATAACAATAGACTGAGAGTATTTCAGTGACTAGCCCAGGATAGGATAAATACAAAAGCACAGGACACAATAGCAAGATTCCAAGCTTCCTGTGACTTCTGATTGTATTTTCGTACATTTGTTGTCTTCCCCCACCTCTTTCTTTTATTCTGCCTTTTTGAGTGATTTCATTCTTTTTATCTTTTTCTGGCTATTTTATATTCCTGTAGGCCCTTGTGTGTTGTTCATATGTGTTTGTCCCGTGAAATACTGCACCTGTGTATTAAACCAGAATGGCGTTATAAAGGAGATAAGTAAGTGCCGATTTTTCAGATTCTCTGTGAGCAGGCATTTTTGCATCTTATTGTGAAGTAATGGGCTAGATTGCTGCACTAAGTGCTTTGGTTTTGGGTGTGTATTTTAAATGATGGTCTCTGGGGTGCAGGAACATTACCACAGAATTCACTGTCATGTTTTTAAATTTACAATCCAATTTGTTATCCAAGTTCAGTATGATTCATACTGTTACATGATGGAGCTATTTGTCAAGCAAGTGAGTAAGAAAATAATTGTAGAGGCAGTTAATGGAAAACTAAGCCTGTCATTTCAGAGGCTCTCTGTGGTGCTCCCTCATTTCGATGACAGGCGAGTTGCTGTTCTCTGGTGAGGGCTGGCTCTTAGAATCGTTAGCTTTTCTCCCTTCCAGAAAAGCATTGGCAGGTTTTGGTTGATGGTACTTAGAAGATGCTCCTAATCTAAGGCAAATACAGGTTCTGAGTGCACGGGCAGCAGTCTGTAGCTGGAAATGGCAAAGATCGCACTTCCCCTTTAGTCTTACATGTGGGCTAACTGTGATACGAAGTGCACATATACTTGTCCAATAATTTTAAAATTCACCTTGTGATTACAGCTATTAGGAGACAAGTATCAAATAATATGCTTTGTATTTAAATAGTTTTAAAATGTGTATTCACAATTAAGTAACACTGTGGATTCAAAGCAATAAATCAGTTGTTGGATTTTCTCCTTTATTCAGAATAAAAGGCCAGCATATTGTCAAAGCAAAGGAATTTCTTCTGCACTAAGACATAAACCTTGTCTTAAAATACTTTGACATTATTTTATATTTACGTAAATGTTGTACAGGGCAGTTTTCACATTCCCCTTGTTCTGTTTCCTGCCCATGGAGTCATGGTGCATTCATCAGAGCCAGGAGACTGCCCTTATTGGCTTATCAGTCTGACTGCATATGTCCTACAGTTGCTTTTCTGTTCTCTTTCTAATCCAAGGCACCATATTCCATTTGGTCACGCTTTGTCCCTCTGCTGCATGATAACTTTTTTTAATCTATTTTTTATGACTGACAGTTTTCAGGAATACAGTTTAGTTGTAAAATGACCTACGTGGAAATACTTTTGATCTTGTACATCAAATACATAGTAGCAGAGTAGGCCAGGTGTGAGCTGTTTACAATAAACAGAATTGAGATAGTCTTTTTGTTTTTTTAAGTGTGCCTACCACCCATTCTTTTTCTTTCTTTTTTTCTTCAATTTATTTAATTTTATTTTGAGTGCATTGGCGTGAGGGTGTCTGTTTCATTGAACTGGAGTTATAGACAGCTATGAGCTGTCATGTGGGAATTGAACCTGGGTCCTCTGGAAGAGCAGACAGTGCTCTTAACTGCTGAGCCACCTCTCTAGCCCCTGAGATACAAATCTTAAATAGTGATGAGGGTGTGGACAAGAGAATTGTAAACTTCCAAGTAAACCACAGCAGATTATTTTGATTGACACAGTTGTAAAAAAAGAAAAGAAAAGAAAAGATTACTGGTTTTATCTGTTGAGTACCATGCAGTTGGTAAGTTGCTTGACTCTGCCAAACATTTGCTCGGTATCTTCTTTTGGTCAGGTCTGTGATTTGTGCATTGAGAATATAATGAAGAAAAGTTCAATTCCTATCAATTGTAGGATTTATGTTACTTAACGGAGAGCAGGGGAGATGGTTAAATGTACCCCTGAATTTGGCTCCCTGCACCAGACAGCTCACCACGCACTGTAACTCCAATTCTGGTGCCCTCTTCTGGCCTTCTTGGGTACCAGGCTTGCATGTGATATACATATATACACACACAGACAAAACACTTACATAATAAAATGTAAAATAAGTAAAATTAACCAAATTTGAAAATATGTAAAAAACCAAGTTAGCAGGCTCTCATATGAGTAATACAAGGTGCTAGGACACAGTGGTGGGGAAGGAGGGTATTTAAATGAAACATCCTGCAAGAAGCGTGTGACTGTTGGAAGAGCTGGCGGGATGATAGGCTTTTCAGGCAGAGGATGAAGATACACGAAGACCCGAAGCCTGCAAAGCTGGAGTCTTAAGTAAGAAAGGGAAGTCACAATAGGCAGAGGTCTGTGTGATGCAGTGATGTAGCATTTCAGTTCTGTTGATCATATAATGGCAAACCATCACAGAACATCCTTTGGTAAAGTTACACGTGTGATAACTGAGTAAGACAGAAGCAAGGAGCCTGGTTAATCTAGCAGAGGTGAGGGTCACAGTTGTGGTAGAACAGAAGAGACCTTGAAAACGGCCCATGGGGATGTGTTTTGGAGGTTGACAGGGTTGCCAATTAATTATTTAGAGAATGAGAGGAAAAGGAAAAAGTAAAGAACGGTTTTTAGGGCTGGGGTTGTTCAGTGGTAGACCATGTGCAAGACCCTGGGTTAATCTACACACACACTCACACCCACACCCATACACACACACACACACACACACACACACACACACACACACACACACAGAGTCAGCAATACGTATCTCACACCCTCTAGACCTTTACTTTGAATTGTGAGCAATTAAAGTCTCAGCTGGAAATTATAGCACTAATTGTATTCTACATATATGATTTGAATGTCCAAAGAGCTTCTGATACAGGAGCAGACAGAAAAGCAAAGCATGAGAGAGAATATTGAGCTGTCTCTTGAGAAGAGTGTGAAAATGTTAATTTCCAGCTTGGTGACTGTGATTGTCAGGTGTTAGCTGGGTTAGTACTCTTTCTTAGTTGTGGTTGGCTAATGTGCCATCTCTGTTGTTTAATGCTGTCATCTCTCTAATGAGCCTCTCATTCTAATTGCTTAAATCATGAACAGATTTAGACACCAGACTTCTTCAGTGGGAAGCAGTGGAGTATGGTGGGGAGGGGCAGAGTTACGGCATTTGTGATATGAGTGAGAACATGGAGGTAGCAGGCAAGAGAGGGTACTTCTGCAAGTTTTCTCTTCTGCTGATTCTGCCTGCTCCACAGGATGTGTTTGATACCTAATGCCAAGAGTGGTGGCACACATGTCTATTCCTAGCTCTGGGAGGCCAAAGTGGGAGGATCATGATTTCAAGGTTAGTCTGGGTTCCTCAGAGACCAGCCTCAGTGGCGTGTAACCTTGTAACCAGAAATCCAAAAGAATGTGTTTGGTGTCTGTGTGCTGAAATGTGATGTCCTGGAGAGAAGCCGGTGCCGTGTGCACATGTAGCACCATTTACACTCATATCTCCAAAATGTGTGTTTCTAGGAGGGCAGAGGGACTTTGATCTAACTACTTTGATTATTGTTGAGCGAATTAATTGGAATGGGAGCTTTAACATCTCTGCTTTCTAAATAAG